TACCTCGAAACAAGCTTGAAACCCCTAAGAAACTTGATTCTTCCCTTTCTGGATTCGTTCCGCTTGTTCTTGGTTTACAAAAAATCATAATAATGTAGGAATCAATAAACAATCACTAATTACCCGAATTGCTAACAATTCTATGAACCCTAGAGCATACCCATGATCTCAAGTACCCAAAATAGGGTTGTTTCCACCATACATTCTAGATCAAAACCCTCCCCCATCGATAATGACCCATTAGATTACGTTCTACGGATCGAAAAATGGATTCGGGGAGTTAAAATCTTACCTTTAGCCTCAAGAATGGTGGAAAACTGTCAAGAATCGCATGGGGTTCGTTCCTTAGCTCTAAAAATCAAAAAGTACATAATAAAGACGTTTTGGGGTTTATTTACGACCTTAAGTCACGTCGGACCCGCCGCAGTAGTCCTCACCTTGCTATAGCGTCCCCGCCTTGGCGGCAAAAATCCCACCCCAGCGGCTTGCACGAAACCAGTGAGCTATTTTAATAATTTCAAGACCCCCATTTCACAACATACCTTAAACCAACAACGCTCAGAAAATACCGTCCACGCTAAGATCGATTTCAAGAGTTCTACTCACCCGAATTCAATTCCGTAAAGTCGTACAAATTTCTTAACGACTTATCAAACCACTCATGTAATCAAAATCATAAATAAGTCACCCGATTGTTACCAAATTTCCCTACACCTTAACGACTCTGATTTCGTCCAAATCTGGACTAGGCTGGGAAATCCAAAGTTACTACGCATAAATTTTCTGGCCCCAATTCTTTTCCAATTGGCTTTTCTATAACGATGGAAACAGGTCGTTACATATAATTTTTAAATTTGATCCAAAATATATGGTCAAAAGTAAGTCAAGTCATTAGGAGATAACTTAGAGATTTAGTTTTGTAATACAAATATTATTTTAGACATGTGACAATTTCATAAGATGTTAAAGTGAGTTAAAGTGGCACATTGACTAGGGAATTAATTGACAGTCTGCTTATATAAACTTGAGCAATTTAAACATCATGAACTAATTTTTTAGATTGAGTTAAACTCAGGTATTATATCTTTGTAGTCGGATTCATTACCATTTGGGCTTATAGTACACACTCCAATTGTCCAACCCATGAAAACGGTATTAAAGTAGACTAAAATCCCACATTAATTGAAAAATGAACGGACAATTTACTTATATAGACTTGAACAATCTACTTGAGCAATCTACCCATTATGAACTAATTTTTGAGATTGAGTTAAACTCAGGTATTATATCTTTGTAGTCAGGTTCATTACCATTTGGGCTTACAGTACACACTCCAATTGGTCCACCCATGAAAACGGTATTAAAGTAGATTAAAATCCCACATTAATTGAAAAATGAACGGACAATTTACTTGTATAGACTTGAACAATCTTATACGCATAAACTAATTTTGGAGTATAGGTTCAAACGGATCGAAATTTATGAATTTTTAGAACATCTTTTCTATCCTCAACTATTTGTACGACCATTTTCTTCTTATCAAATGTTAAACGAGTATAAGAGTATCATTTTTCTCAAGTTGAAACAACTAAAAGATCAAAATATATAATCTAGATTTTATCTTCTTAATATTTGTTATATTTTTACTCGAGAAATAAGAGAAAAATTGTAAATTTTGTTGCTTAATTCCATTTTTAGTTTTTATGTTGTTTGACTTTGTATATTTAACCTTCCATTAAACAAATTGTATTCCGGAAGGTTACGAAAGCTATGATAAAAATAAAAAAATAAAAAACAAACTTAACAGAATCTCATTTATAAATACACTTAAAAAATGAGAGATAAACTAGAAATCCTTATATAATATAATAACAAGAAATCTTCTTCTTCTTCGTCTAAACTTATTATGGAGAATATTAAGAAATCTAATTAAAATAACTCCATTTTTAATGAGAAAATACCAATAAAATATTACTCCATAAATATTAAGAATATTGTTTGGAAGAAGCATTAATTTGTTTAACTGGGGTTCTCATTTTCTGACCTTTTTTTCTAAATAAGTACTCTACTAAATCAAATAACACAAGGACTAAAAATGAAATTAAGCAATAACTCAAAAGACCAAAATCACTATTTTCCCCTCACAAAATATAAGAATACAGTTGCTGTAAATATTTAATGATACTGTCACCAATATTAGGTCCCCACTTAATTGACACAAAGTTCACACAAGTTGTATTATTCTATTTAAACATTCATTTGTTTTAGTGACAGTTTTCATATTTTGTAAATCTTGTGTCAAGACAAATAACTAATAGTAAGATCAAGGGAGTTCAAAGAAATGTCTAAATAGGGATCTGAATTGTGCAAGCTTTCCTAAGAGTGAATCAAAGAACTAAAGACATTACATATAGCCTTCTGTTATATGAAATCACATAGATTTACTCAAGAATTCCGAACACTAGGTTATATAATATTGTTTGTGCAACTCTGGTAATGTCATGAAACGTTTGCATTTGCAAACAAGGAATACAAGGCAGAGAAACATATCATAATTAACATGTCTAAGAACTAATAACTCACATGTCCACATAAGTTCGCGAGATAGAGGATAAAATATGAGAAATAATACCTAACTAGAAGCCAATGGTGTAAGGTTCAAAACTCGATCAATAATGAGTGTGACCCCTTAGATAACAACCTTTTGTCAACATCACATGTTGCACTCATTTACAACTAAACCAAAGTGCTAACTCCTAAAATGAGACCTTAATTATGCCAATAAAAATAGAAATAAAGAACTAGCTTAGTAGCAAACAGGAATAACTTGATTTGTCTGCTTGGGAATACACAAACATAATGCAATGCAACAACTTCAAATGCATGACCCAGAGAATACAACCTTTTGCTCAACTCTGTTAATTAAATGGTCACCCGAGGACATCAAAAATAGCTCCAGCTGAAGTACAACCCATTACCATACCAAAGGTATACCAGGGAAACAATCAAACTTTCACCCTTCTAGATGATCTAGGCCATCACATAGCATGCAGCTACATGTTTGTCTAGAACAACACAACACATCATCACATTCACAACACTCAAACTATACGTACATTCATAGCCAAAAAGTGCATCATAGGTGTGCAGTAAAATTGAAGGGCAAAGTGAACTTTCAAAACCCACCAATTACCATACAAAAGCAAAGGGTATCATCACAATGTCATGCCATCTATACAAGACATTACATTCACGACACTCAACTAAATGTCCATTGATTGCCAATACGTGCATCACAAGAGTGCCTACTAGGCTAACACTGGAAGAGTAAATCTCATTTCCAACCTGGTAAAAAACTGAAGTCTAGTTTCAAAACATTTCTTGAATTTATACTTCAACTACCACTACACCCCAATCAGCTCACAAGCATATTTGAAGTCAACTACATAAATACTCACTGCCCATATTGCTCCATTCAAGTATGTCTGCTGCTTGAACTTACAACCACATCAGAACAGGTCTAGGGATTCAGCTGCTAAGCACCAAACAACAAATTCACGATTCAAACTCACACGGCATGAAAATGATTACGTGAAAAACTCTTCACTAAAACTTCAATTCAAACTTCAAATACTATCATCTAAGTTTTGTATCATCTCCAATAGGAACTTCAAACAAGTTTTCACTTGGGATCGAACACCCTAAGCAATGTGTGCATTCCATGATAATCCAATATCAATTTAGCTTTTATCCAAAGCGGCAAATGATTGTCACATGATATGAACACTAAAGTGAATAACCTATAACGCTACAATTTAAATAACTCATGAGCGAATTTCACAATTAGATAAACAACATACCGAGTGTAATCTCACAAGTGGAGTCTAAGGAAGATAAGAGTGCGTAACGTTCAGCCCAATTAAAGCATATTTTCACAAATTTATAAATGCAGACAATTCAAAACGAAGTACTATATAAAGAGGAACGATGTATAAATAAAATAGAGCAAAAAGATACGAAGCATAAATCCATAGCCAAAATCGAATACTAAATTTTGAATTCGGTGTAATCAGAACAAAATCACAACTCAAATGTGACTGAAACTTCAAACTAAAACTTAAACAGCATAAGCCTAGAGAAGACGATAAGCATAGATAGACCGTTGAGAACTGCAGAATGTAGTTCTACTTCGATCTCTGTCTCATCTTTCGACGCTTCCTCTTCAACCTCCTCATACGCTTCTTCTTCCACTGAATAAAACCAAAAAAAAATGACAAAATTAAGCATAAAAAACTTACGAAATTAGTGAAAATGGAGAAATTTCATGCTACAGAATTCATTTTTACCTTAGCTCTCATTCTGAATTGGTGATGATCGGAAAGCTTTCTTCACTTCTCGGAGAGAATATATCAAATGCGGCAGTGATGAAAGAAGATGGAGTTAGGGTTTAGATCAATTATATAGCAAACCTAAAACGCGAGATATGTGGATCACTGATGGGCCTAAAATGTAATTCAAATTGGATCCAGTTAATAGGCCCAATTTCGCGGTTCTTAATGGATGAATCGGGTCTTTGAAATTTTAGTCCCACCGTTTTTTTCTTCATAATTGAATTTGATGCACTTGAGTACCACCAATATGTATAAGGTAGTCTTTATTAAAAAAAGCGTAGTTGATCACATTAAAATCACACACATATAGATAATGCATATTGAAATATTATCTTGAAGAATGTGACGTAAGTTTTTTCTTCGATATCATGATAATTAACAAGTTATTTATTATATTTTGATATCAATACCCATGACACAACAGAAATAGGTGAACCGATATTGGGTATAATTAAATACTTGTTGAATTAATGATTAATCAAGATGACATTTCTCAACTTTGGAATACGAGTTTAAGGTTTATGTTGTCATGAATTTTAAATGACTAACTAATACCTTCACCAGGGCAATTAAAGGAAAAGCAAAAAAAAAAAGCAAGAGTTTCTGAGGTCATTCAATGGTAAGAGTATAATTTCACGTGCATACATAGTTAATCATCGTAATTTGATAGTTGAAAATTTGATTTTTTGAAATTGTGTTTGTACATATATTTTATTTGATTATTATTTATTTTTACTTTTATAAGTGGAATTGTGCAATTTTCAAAAGTTGATCTACATTAGGTTGTGGAAACTTGAAAATATTTGAGGATCAAATATATATATATAGATAACTTTCACAATCTGATTCAAAATATATGATCAAACGCAAGTCAAGACATTAGGAGATGACCTAGAGATTTAGTTTTGTAATTCATAAGATGTTAGAGTGGATTAAAGTGTCACATGGCTAGGAAATTGGTTTACAGTATGCTTATATAAACTTGGACAATCTTCTTCTCATGAACTAACTTTTAAAATTGAGTTAGGCTTAAATGTAATATCTTTACATGATATCATAGTCAAATTATCCCTGTTTGGACTTATAGTACACGCTCCAATAGAGTCGGCCCATAAAAACGGTATTATAGTAGATTAAACTCTCAAATTAATTAAAAAATAAACGGACAATTTACTTAAATAGACCTGAACAATCTTTCCCTCATAAAATTAAATTTTGGAGTTAAAGGTTCAGATGGATCGAAATTTATGAATTCTTAGAACATTTTTTGTATCCGCAACTATTTGTACGGTCATTTTCTTCTTATCAAATGTTAAGTGAGTATTAATAAGAGTATCATTTTTCTCAAGCTGAAACAACTAAAAGATTAAAATATCTAAGCTTGATTTTATCTTCTTAGTATTAAGAGTAAAATTGTAAACTTTATGACTCATTTTCCTTATTAATCATTCGGAAAAAAAAGGATACATTTCTTGTGAATATGAAATAATACGGTGTCAAAATTTTACCCATATTAGATGATCCCTTACATAAAGTGCACAAAAGGTATATTATTCTATTTAAAAATTCATTTGTTTTACAGACAGAATTGAAATATTGCAAAAAAAAAAAACATATTTCTTAAAAGCTTGCGTATAATAACGGAACTTATAGTAAGATCAAAGGAGAATCCCTTGGTTCAAAGCAAGGTCTCGTGAAGGCGACGGCAACTAGCTTTATTCAAACTTGCTTAAGACTATACTAGAATAATTTATTAAACGTAATATATGATTTTTCAGTATTATTTTTCCACTTGGTGTCTGATATATACATTTGAGGCCTACTTAAACCTTTATTCATTCCACATTTGAGTGGTTAAGGTACTTATCACTCCAACACAACTAGATGTTGGTCGAATTGGTGTTTGCTACTCGGGAAATGTCATGAAACGTTTACACTTGCAAACAAGGAATATAAGGTGGAGAAACGCATCTTATCTAACATGTAGAAGGACTAACAATGGAGTAAGATTCAAAACTCTATCGATAATGAGTCCCTTCACTTAAATACCAAGCTTTTGTCTACAATTCTAAACCCATGATGCGCACATCACATATGTTGCGCTCTTTTGCAACCACACCAAAGTGCTACGGGCAACTTTGGGACATTAAAAGAGCCAAATTAACTAACAAAAACAGGACAAACATGATTTGCCTGCTTGGGGAATACACACATAATGCAATGCAACAACCACTTCAAATGGAAGACCAAGAAAACACGACCTTTAACTACTCTGTAAATAAAATGATCATCTGGGACCATAAAAAATAGCTCTCTTGCAGTAAAACTTAAGGACAAAGTGAACTTTCTACGCCCTCACATTACCGTACCATAGGCAAGGGTATAATATCCACATGTTTCCACAAGGGAAACAATCAAACTTTCACCCATATAGTTCTAGGCCGTCAAATAGCACGCATGACGCATCTACATGTTGGTCTAGAACAACAATGCAATGTCATCTTATACAAGACATACATAACACCTAAATTTATTGCATCCCAGGTGCACCTACTAGGCTAACACTGGAAGAGTAGATCTCATTTTCCCATCCTGATAGAGAAAAACTAAGGTCCAGTTTCAAAATATATCTTGAATTAATAATTCAACTACTACTACTACACCTCAATCTGCTCACAAGCAAGTTCATACTCACTTCCCATATTGCTTCATTTAAACATGTCTGCTACTTGAACATACAAGTTAAACCACATCAGAACAGGTTTAGGAATTCAATTGCTACCGAAACCACAAAAACACGTTTCAAACTCACTTAGCATGAAAATGCCTTTAATCAAAAACAGAACTTTACTAAAATTTCAGTTCAAACTTCAAACAATATCTAAGTTTTGTATCATCTCCAATACAAAATTCAAATGAGTTTTCACTACAGCATGGAACCGAATTTAAATTGCTATCTAAAATGGACCGTATGGTATCAGCATAAAGCATGCAGATGCACTACTTTTTTTGGATGAAAAAACCTAAGCAATGTGTGTATTCCATAATGATCCAACATCAATTTAGCATTTAATTAGACAAACAATCTTAGCCCAAAGCGGCAAAGATTGTCACACGATATAAACACTTCGTGAGCGAATTTCACAATTATATAAACAACATACCCAGTGTAATCTCATAGGTGGAGTCTAACAAAGATAGAGTGTGTGCAAATATTAATCATACCTCGCAGAGGAGGCAGGGAGGCTGTTTCCAAAAGCTGTTCAGCACAAATAAAGCATATTTTCACAAATATATAAATGCAGACAATTCAAAACAAAGAACGAGGAACGACGTATATAAAATAGAGCGAAAAGACACGAATAATAAGAAGCATAAATCCATAGCCAAAATCGGATACCAAAAATTTGAATTCGGTGTAATTAGAACAAAATCACAACTCAAATGTTACTGAAATTTCAAACTAAAACTTAAACAGCATAAGCCTAAAGAAGACGATAAGCATAGATAGACCGTTGAGAACTGCGGAATGTGGTTCTACTTCGATCTCTGTCTCATCTTTCGGCGCTTCCTCTTCAACCTCCTCATACGCTTCTTCTTCCACTGAAGAAAAAACAAAAAAAATTACAAAATTGAGCATAAAAACTTACGGAATGAGTGAAAATGGAGAAATTTCATGCTACAGAATTGATGTTACCTTAGCTCTCATTCTTAATTGGTGATGATCGGAGAGTTCTCTTCACTTCACAGAGAGAATATTTCAAATGCGGCAGTGATGAAAGATGATGAAATTAGGGTTCAGATCATTTATATAGCAAACCCTAGAGATGTGAGATATGTGGATCACCGATGGGCCTAAAATGTTAGTTCGACTTGGGTCCAGTTTTTAGGCCCAATCTTGTGGCTCTAAACGGATGATGTGCAAGAATGACCCCCAATGAGGGGTGCTTGAAATTTTAGTCCCTTTTCTTCTTCTTTGTACTTCAAGGTTTTCCGAAATAGTCATTCTACGATAAGATGTATGCACTCTCTATCCTACGTATAAGATTACGCTAGATATGTTATGCTAGTTGCTAAAAATATCTTTAAAGAATGAATGAACTATGTTACTCATTTGTGAAAATAAAATTAATTTCACTTATGAGATAGGAAATTCAGAGTATTTTTATAGCGGTCGTTTAATAGAATGTATGAGAACAATATTGATTATGATATATTAATAATGTTTGTATTAGTTATAACTTACATTAGTTATGCTGAGATTATTTTTTATGCAGTGTTTGGTGTATTAAAATAATATAAATTGCATAAAAAATGATAACATATTTATTTACAAAAACGCCCTTCACAAATATGGTAGAAAGGGTGTAGAAAAAGTTTTGAGGGACAATTGTGTCTTTAATCTTACTAATGTGTGTATTAAAACCTTTTGCAATACTAATACAATGGATTTTTGTATGTGTTATACAATGTATCCAAGTGGATTCGCATGTATCTGGGATACATAGTAAATTTTGCTAACCTCCCTCGCCTCTCTCTCATCTCGCTCGCCATGCTTTCATGTATCTAGTATTCTAGATACATGTGAATCACTCAAAATACATACAAATACATGTATCTAGTATGTATCTAGGGTGATTCACATGTTTCTAGGATACACACATATTTGATCAAATTAAGATTTGTTGGAGGCTTTAAGAAAGAGGAGAGTCATAATTTGACTTTGAACTCCTTTTAAGACAAGTTGAGATTTTCTTTGACACTTTATAAAGTGTTAGTCCGTACTCCGTAGTGTATTGCTTGAGTAACTCTTTATAAAGTTAATGCATGCATTAACTTTATGTATTAGAAGTAGGGGTGTTCACGGTTTGAATAAAAATCGATTCAAACCAAAAAATCAAATCAAATCGATAAAATAAAACTGATTTTATTTGGGTTTGGTTTGGTTTGGTTTTTAGATTTTTGAAGACTGATAGTATTTGGTTTGGTTATGATTTTATTCGAAAAAATCGAAGAAATAATCAAACCAAACCGATGAATCATATACATATATTTTATTAATATAC